ATGGCCGCCTAGTAACGGCCCCGACCACTGCCGCTCGACCTGACCGGAAAAAACCGTAGCAGGAAGCTAGCGAAGTCGTAGTATATATCGTCACAAATAGAACTGCCCGGTAAACCGTAGGCAGAGAGAGAGAAGAGGTATATACATATATATATATCGTCACAAACAGAACTGCCCGGTAAACCGTAGGCAGAGAGAGAGAAGAGGACAACAAACGAGGGGCTGTATATATATATATAGCCCAAATTTTGGACACACGATAACGAGTCAGTCAATGATGATATCGATGACCCAATGTCCTATCCCATGAGAAAATGCTCAGAATGATCAGAGAAAAATCTGGGAAAATTGGTATTCAAAATCTTAGACAAAGTCATATACCGTCAAACAGAGCTACTGCCGGGTAAAGCGTAGGCAGAAAGGGAGAAGAGGACAACAACGAGGGAGGGGCTGTGACGAACTGTTTCGTCGGAGTTTCACCGACTCATCAGGAAAATTCATATATATGTAATAAAAAAAAGAAAAGGCATATATCAAGATCCCAACTTTAAGTAAATTCCCACTAAAGATAGCGAATACAACAACTCCACCGATATTGAAAGATCGTTACACTTACCGCGTCGATTCATGTACTGCCGGGGTTGCCTCTTTGTGGTTACCTTCACTGCACCATGATTGGCGTCGGCAACGCATTTTCCCTGCTAACACGTCCACATACATACAACATCCAACAACAAATTCAACAATCAGTTTCCTTCTTTTTCTTCTTTTTTTTTCAAATAATTTTGACCATTTCAATGCTGTCTGGGTTCACCGGGCCGGTGTGCTGTTGAGTTATACTGTTTCCTTTGTCTTACCGGTGGAAAAGGGACCCCACTGCTCCTCCCAAGAAAAGGAGGAGAAAATTCAAAAGATATATATAGTATATACATTAATAATAATAAAAAATACAGCCATGCTAATCTTCCTTGTCTGTCTCGTTCCAATTTTAACAGATGTCCCAAAGGACAACAACAACAACAACCAAAAAAAAAAAAAAACAGAAAAGAAGAAGAAGAAGAACAACAACAACAACAACAACAACAAGAATGCAAGAGTCACTTTTGACCTATGTTACCAGAGTGGCCCGGGACCACTTCCCCGTCCGGGCCAAAAAGAATTATACATATATATTGTCACACTGTGAATCAGAGCGCGAAGGCGAAAAAAAACAAAACAAGGAAAGGAAAAGAAGGAAGGAACCCCCCACCTGTTCATCACCTCTTTTATATATATTGTCACATCACTTAAAACTAAAAGAGCGCACTTTGCGGAACAAAGAATAAAAGCAAAAAACAGGCACACTGATAACATGCAAAAATAAAAAGAAAAAGAAAAACAAAAAGAAAAAACAAGGGCAGATTGAAACCATTAAATTTCTCATTCTTCTTTGAACTCCTCCTCCACTGTGCCTCTCACGTGCAAGGCTCGCCACGTTGATGAAGTTGAGCGCGAGCTGCCCCATCCCCGTATGCCATAACAGCCCACTTGCAC